CCAGCCTAGGCGACAGAGTGAGACCGTCTCAAAAAAAAAAAAAAAAAGCCGGACGTGGTGGCTCACACCTGTAATCCCAGCACTTTGGGAGCCCGAGGTGGGTGGATCACCTGAGGTTGGGAGTTCGAGACGAGACTAACCAACATGGAGAAACTCTGTCCCTACTAAAAATACAAAATCAGCCGGGTGTGGTAGCGCATGCCTGTAATTCCAGCTACTTGGGAGGCTGAGGCAGAAGAATTACTTGAACCCAGGAGACGGAGGTTGCGATGAGCCGAGATCACACCATTGCACTCCAGCCTGGGCAAGAAGAGCGAAACTAACGTCTCAAGAAAGAAAAAGAAAAAAAAAAAGTTTAACATGATGTCTGCAACAACTGCTAACAAATCACAAAAATGATTACTATTTGAATTCATCAGTGGATACATCAATTAGGAAATGACTGAAACTCTGTCAGATCACCAAGTAGTAGTAAAATAAAGGTTAGCCTTGGATAAAAATGGAAAAAATAGAAACAGACCCAAAAATAAAAATTCTTTTCCTGAGGCAAAAGATTTCAGTAATGCTTTGAATAACAAATATAAGATGGCAAAAAGTATTTACCTTTGCCCAGGTGAGATGTGATTCTCTGCTGGAACAGATGAGGCAGTGAAGACCTTTGTTTCAGAAAGCTGTATGGAAAATTGAAAAATTTAATCTTATTCTATATACTATTAAACCTAAAACACAGACTTCCTGATCATTTGTAGCCATCAGTAGTCTCTTACACTTCACGTAACAGCTATTCTAAAGAAAATGAAACATACAAGTGACAAGTAATTTTCAAGTGAATGCAAATTTTTTTTCTGAGACAGGGTCTGGCACTGTTGCCCAGGAAGGAGTGCAGTGACGTGATCTCGGCTCACTGCAATCTGTGCCTCCTAGGTTCAAGCAATCTTCTCACCTCAGCCTCCTGAGTAGCTGGGCCTCCAGGCATGCACCAGCATGCACCACCACACCGGGCTAATGTTTGTATTTTTAGTAGGGACAGGGTTTTGCCATGTTACCCAGGATAATTTCTAATTCCTAGCCTCAAGTGATGCACCCACTCGGCCTCCCGAAGTGTTGGGATTACAAGTGTAAGCCACGGCGCCCGGCTGCAAGTGAACGTAATTTTAGATTGAAAAGCCTACAAGAATGATTTCAAATCAGGAAAATGAGATTAATGGTAAACAACACAGTGAAACACTCAAACCAGGGCTCAACCGCAGACTCACTTCTCTATTTGTCGTTACACAAAATGAGAATACCAATAAACCCATCAACAAAGCTACCAAAAATGCCAAAAAATTGAGAAGGTGGCCAGGAATGGTGGCTCACACCTGAAAGCCCAACACTCTGGGTGGCCGAGGCAAGAGGACTGCTTGAGGCCAGGAGTAAGACTTCATCTGTAGGGGGGAAAAAAAAAAAATTGGCTGGTCATGGTGGTGTGCACCTGTCCCAGCTACATGGGAGGCTGAGGCTGGAGAATCGTTTCAGTCCAGAGGTTGAGGATGCAGTGAGCCATCATCACACCACTACACTCCACCCTGGGGGACAAAGTGAGATCCTGCCTCAAAAGTCATTAAGAAGTTTGAAAAGGTGAAATAATTGATGTTTTCTCCCCCCAAAGACAGATGTCTTTAGTATTTAATTGATGAGTAATTTTGCATTTCATTTTTATTAAACCAAGGGTTTCTATTATTTTTAAAAAATTAATTTTATCACATTCTAACACAACCAATAAACCACAAATATTCAAACCAAATAACTGAATAAGTCTGGCATACGTAGGCTCCCATGAAACCACCACCACAATTAGGACAGTGAACATATTCTTTACTCCCCCACAATTTCCACCTGTCCCTGTGGAATCACTCATTCCCACCACTTGTCTGCATCCCCAGACAACCACTCACATGCTTTCTGACACTACAGATTAGGCTGCATTTTCTAGAATTTTAAATGAAATCATAAAAGTATCCAAATCTTTATTTCTCGCTTCTTTCACTCAGCATAATTAGTTTGAGATACATGCACATTTTTTTTTTATTTTTTATTATACTTTAAGTTCTAGGGTACATGTGCACAATGTGCAGGTTTGTTACATATGTATACATGTGCCATGCTGGTGTGCTGCACCCATTAACTCATCATTTACATTAGGTAGATCTCCAAATGCTATCCCTCCCCCATCCCTCCACCCTACAACAGGCCCCGCTGTGTGATGTTCCCCTTCCTGTGTCCAAGTGTTCTCATTGTTCAATTCCAAACTATGAGTGAGAACATGCGGTATTTGGTTCTGTTCTTGCGATAGTTTGCTGAGAATGATGGTTTCCAGCTGCATCCATGTCCCTACAAAGGACACAAACTCATCCTTTGTTAAGGCTGCATAGTATTCCATGGTGTATATGTGTCACATTTTCTTAATCCAGTCTGTCACTGATGGACATTTGGGTTGGTTCCAAGTCTTTGCTATTGTGAATAGTGCCACAATAAACATACGTGCATGTATATTGTTTTAACTCACTTTTATGGCATTCAGGATAAATTTTTTGAAACCTCAACTGACGTTAATAAGAGATACGTGTTCTTTTTACGTTTTCAATGTGGGGACTCGGCTTTGAAAGCCTGGAAAACGTTGATCTAATGAGGTAACATGGAAAACATAAAAATGCTACTCAAAAGAGTCCCATAATTCTTATCAACTCTAAATGTCTCAGAAACACTGTTTAAAACCAGACTTCCTGCTTCAGACAGTATGTGTAAGCAGGAGGTAAAGCAGACAGTAGGTGTTCATTTTCTTCAACAATATAAAAGTGCTAAACTGTTTACTGTTTCAACAAGTCAACAAGAATGGCCTAAGTTGCATCCTATTCCAAAACGGTGTGTGGGAAGGGTTTTTTTTTCTTCTTCTGCTTCTTTTCTTTTCTGGGAGACAGACCTCACTCTGTCACCCAGGCAAGAATGCAGTGACATGATCACTGAGGCTCACTGCAGCTACAAACTCAACCTCCCAGGCTCAAGCATTCCTCCCACCTCCACCTCCCAAGTAACTGGGACTACAGGTACCTGCCATCACACACAGCTATTTTAAAATTTTTTTAGGCCGGGCGCGGTGGCTCAAGCCTGTAATCCCAGCACTTTGGGAGGCCGAGACGGGCAGATCACGAGGTCAGGAGATCGAGACCATCCTGGCTAACACGGTGAAACCCCATCTCTACTAAAAAAATACAAAAAACTAGCCGGGCGAGGTGGCGGGCGCCTGTAGTCCCAGCTACTCGGGAGGCTGAGACAGGAGAATGGCGTGAACCCGGGAGGCAGAGCTTGCAGTGAGCCGAGATCCGGCCACTGCACTCCAGCCTGGGCGATAGAGCAAGACTCTGTCTCAAAAAAAAAAAAAAAAAAAAAAAAAAAAAAAAAAAAAAAATTTTTTTGTAGAGACAAGGCCTCCCTGTGTTGCCCAGGCAGATCTTGATCTCCTGGGCTCAAGCGATCCTCCTGCCTCAGCCTCCCAAAGTGCTAGGATTACAGGCATGAGCCAATGTGCCTGCCCCAAGGTAGCATATTTTCATATTTCCAGTGAATCCATTTTTGCCTGAAACTTACAAATTAAATCAATTTAAGAAAAAGAAGTGTGAGGTAAATGAGAACTACTATAAACACTGACATATCTAAACATGGTAATAAAACCCTGAACGGTTCCCTTTTTTTTTTTTTGAGATGGCGTTTCGCTCTTGCTGCCCAGGATGGAGTGCAATGGCGTGATTTCGGCTCACCACAACCTCTACCTCCTGGGTTCAAGCAATTTTGCTGCCTCAGCATCCCAAGTAGCTGGGATTACGGCATGCGCCACCACACCCAGCTAATTTTGTATTTTTAGTGGAGACAGAGTTTCACCATATTGGCCAGGCTGGTCTCGAACTCCTGACCTCAGGTGATCCACCCGCCTCGGCCTCCCAAAGTGCGGGGATTACAGGCATGAGTCACCGTGCCCAGCCTTTTTATTTTTATTTTTTTTTTGAGACGGAGTTTTGCTCCTGTTGCCCAGGCTGGAGTGCAATGGCGCGATCTCGGCTCACTGCAAGTGCCTCCCGGGTTCAATTGATTCTCCTGCCTCATTCTCCCAAGTAACTGGGATTACAGGCACCCACCATCATACCCGGCTAATTTTGTGTTTTTAGTAGAGACAGGGTTTCACCACGTTGGCCAGGCTGGTCTTGAACTCCTGACCTCAGGTGATCTACCCGCTGCTGCCTCCCAAAGTGCTGGAATTACAGGTGTGAGCCACTGTGTCCGGCCTTTTTTTTTTTTTTTTAAAGGAAGGGCCAGGCACGATGGCATGCACCTGTAATCTCAGCTACTTGGAGGCTGAGGCAAGAGGATCCCTTGAGCACAGGAGTTTGGGGATGGAGTGAGCTGGGCAACAGTGCAAGACCTAGTCTCTAAAATGAAAAAAAGGCTGGGCGCAGTAGCTCATGCCTGTAATTCCAGACCTTTGGGAAGCCGAGTCAGACGGATCACTTGAGGTTAGGAATTCAAGACCAGCCTGGTCAACACGGTGAAATCCCGTCTCTACTAAAAAAACAAAAATTGGCCAGGCATGGTGGCACGCATCTATTAATTCCAGCTACTCAGGAGGCTGGGGCGGGAGAATCACTTGAACCCAGAGGTGGAGGTTGCAGTGAGCCAAGATCGTGCCACTGCACTCCAGCCTGCGCGACAGGGAGAGAATCCATCTCAAAAAATAAAAAATAGATTAATTAAATTTTTTAAAAAAGGAGAAAGGAGGTGACTAGTTATTGTTCTAAAATCTAGAAAGAATCTAGGATTCACATTTTAGATTATTCCCCTACCAATCAGCATGACTTTGTATCACCTCAGAGAAATTTAAAATTTTTTGTGATTCCAAAGAAAAAAATAACTAAATTCTATCTGTTAACTCTTTTCACGAATTACATATTTTGACACAGCAGAATGTTAATGTCTCTCTGGAGTACATGTACTGCCTGATACCACATGTTCATCAAAAGACTTCATGTGACCCACAGAAAACTCCAATAATTTAGGCAGGACAGCTATTATGATATTCATTATACAGATGAAAAATAGGAGGCTCGGACTGGAAAGACGCCTTGTTGAAGGTCAACAGCTAGAATTTACACAGAATTCTGTCTTCTGATCCCTTGCTGATTTTCTAACATGCCTGCTGATCCTGACAGGCAACCAGATGTAAAGCTTTTAGCCCTGCAACCTTCTCCTACCCCACCTCGCAACAAAACCCTAGCAAAAATTCTAATAATACAAAACATTTATATGTGGGATGGTTCTGTACAAAATAAGGTAAGGTGCCCAAAGACTGTTCACTTTGACTTCCCTTTAATACTAGTGCCCAACCCTCCACTGGTTTAAATAACCACTTATCAAGTCCAGCTGCTGATATTAAAGGTATCAAACATCATACGAGTATGATGCACAGCCAGGGATAGCTAGAGAGCCAGGTGGCATCATAACACTAAGGACTTTCAATTAGTATGTAGCAGCAGTGAAAATATCCCCCAAATCCTAACTAAATGAACATGTCTACTCTCATCTTTGTCACACTCTACCGAGCTCACTCCTCACAAGGCAGATTTAATCCTGCTTAAAAAAGGAAGCAAAAGTGCAAAGTTTAAAAAAAAAAAAAAAAAAAAAAAAAGCTTGTCCAAAAATTGCTTAATTTTGGCCAGGCATGGTGGCTTACACCTGCAATCTTGGCACTTTTGGAAGCCAAGGCAAGAGAACGGCTTGAGCCTGGGGGGTTGAGGCTGCAGTGAGCTATGATGGCACCACTGGACTCCAGCCTGAGCGACAGAGCAAGAGCAAGGCCCTGTTTCAAAAAAAAAAAAAAATTAAAATACTTATTTTTTACAAGGTAAAATGAACCTATCTATGGTAGTGGGTTGTTCAAACACCACTTAAAACACAAATAATACTGTATGTGAAGGAGTAGTAAGACCTAAGGAACAATGCCCTGCCTAAGGTCATTAAACAAGTCAAGTAGAAATCATGTGTCTTGTTTCTCATTCCAAGCAGGTCCTGTTAGCATAAATGGAAACACATATGGAGACAGAGAAAAAGATAGAATCTCAAAGTCTGGGTCATTGTAAATAGTTTTGAGGATCTGTATTTGTAACCCATTTATTCTTTCCCGCTCAATATCTGCTCAAACTCTGTGTCAGGCAGATACCAAACTCAAGAGTTCTAGAACTTGATAGTCAAACAGAAAAGAGGTATAAAATATGGTATTGGGTTATTTATCCCTTTTTCTCTTTATTATTTAACTTAATTTTTTTTTCCAAAAAAAATACTATGCTGAAAGCAGAACTTATAGACTGACAGTACCCAGAAGCTAGTGTAATATGCTCAAAAATATCTGTGGAATAAAGGAATTTTTTTTTTTTTTAAAGGGTTCTTCTAGTGAAAAGGGGAAGAGGTTGGGCATGGAACCAGAGCAACCCTATTCAGGTTAATTTCAACTGTGACCCAAAATATAGACTCTCCTTTAATGAAAATATTCTAAAGAATAATAGTTCACAAATCTGGGCAACAGTGTCAGCTGGCTATCAGGTCAAACAAAACAGAGATAAGCTTTAAAAAAAAAAAAAATCAATCCTACTTAACACCTGGTAATTTTGTTTGTTTGCTTTAAGATGCATTCTTGCTGTCACCCAGGCTAGAGGGCAGTGGAACAATAATGCAGCACTGAAGTCCTGGGCTCAAGAGATCCTCCTGCCTTAGCCTCCTGAGTAGCTGAGACTACAGATGCACAACCACACACGCAGGTAATTTTTTTTTTTTTTTTTTTTTGAGACGGAGTCTTGCTCTGTCACCCAGGTTGGATTGCAGTGGCCGGATCTCAGCTCACTGCAAGCTCCGCCTCCCGGGTTTACGACATTCTCCTGCCTCAGCCTCCCGAGTAGCTGGGACTACAGGCGCCCGCCGCCACGCCTGGCTAGTTTTTTGTATTTTTTAGTAGAGATGGGGTTTCACCATGTTAGCCAGGGTGGTCTCGATCTCCTGACCTCGTGATCCACCCGTCTCGGCCTCCCAAAGTGCTGGGATTACAGGCTTGAGCCATCGCGCCCAGCCGATAATTTTTTCATTATTATTTTTTTGTAGAGACAGGGTCTCACTTTGTTACTCAGGTAGGTCTCATATTCCTGGCTTTAAGTGATCCTCCTACCTTAGCTTCTCAGAGTGCTGGGATTATAGTTGTGAGCCACTATGCCCAGCCTAACACCTCAACTTTTTTTCTTGTTTGGTTTTTCCAGTTTCCCAAATCATCTTGACACTTGGTCATTTTTAAGCATGAAAACAAATATTCTCAAAAATCTGAAAACACTAAGTTCCTTCTAAGAAGCATCTGCTAAAAAAGCCAACTCTCTAAAACCCTGGCTACGATGATAAAAAAGAAGCCAAGATGAGATAAGATGTCTCAGGCTCTTTCTTCCAAGTAACAAAGCCCCCAGCAAACACCAAAAGACAGGTATCTGCCGGGCGCAGCGTCTCACACCTGTAATCCCAGCACTTTGGGAGGCTGAGGCAGGTGGATCACCTGAGGTCAGGAGTTTGAGACCACCCTGACCAAAATGGTGAAACACCGTTTCTACTAAAAAAAAATACAAAACTAGCCAGGCGTGGTGGCACACACCTGTAATCCCAGCTATTTGGGAGGATGAGGCAGGAGAATTGCTTGAATCCAGGAGGCGGAGGTTGCAATGAGCCGAGTTCATGTCACTGCACTCTAGCCTGGGCAACAAAAGCAAAATTCCACCTCAAAAAAAAAAAAGAAAAAGAAAAAGAAAAAAAGAAAAAAGAAAAAGAAAGAAAGGTCTCATCTGACAGCAAACACTTACATCTTCAGTCCAGTCTTCTGTTGTCCACTCCTCCACAGAATTCTTCCAAGCCCCTGTTGGGAAACAACAGCAATTAAAGTTTATACCACAAAGTCAAACACAATCTGAGTCCAAATGAATCCTTTTTGTGTACTATTCAGGTAAAGATATATATACCTCACTAGCAATTTAGTTTACAACCCAAGAAACAGGATGATCTTAATCTATTCTCGGTAAAATCAGTAATACTTCTTTTCTCCCCTTCTTTTTGAAGTCATGTTTACAAATGCAACTTGACTAGTAGTCACTATCTACATAACTGCAAATCAGTGTTTCAAATGGATTTTGCTTCAATATAGGTCACATCCAAGCAATGCTGCCATGATTAAGAAAGTATGGACATAGCACAAATATAGACATTTAACAATGGTTTGATTTCTTATGATGTAGTCTTTAAAACAAAAAATTTCATTTTAAGGTAAATCTGTCTTGGACCCTATTTTAGTTGGATTACTGAACTATGAAATTTAGAGCAGCATCCTTTTAATAAAATGTTAGCTCTACTATATGGTTTCCTAATAGGTCTCCAGCAAAGTTTAACATTACTCTTGCTCATATCAAGTCTGCTGCTTTAAGTTCTGAAGTCAGTACACAGGATGCACTCAAACAGTTCTTACAGACACATCCATAACACATCTAAGTACTTTAAAGAAAAGTGTTGCTACTCAAAAAATGCTTACTTACAGATCTTATATAAGTAGAGGGCCATTGTTTATAGTATGTACTAAAAAACATGCCCATAGAAAACGGTTTTAAAGGAAATACACTAAGAAATTAACGACGACTAACCCCAGAAAGCAGGATTATGGATGTTTTCAGTTCCTTTATAGGAAGCAAGGAGTTAATCATCTGACACACAAAATTCTGTTTCTCTCCAAAAGTTGTGTATGGAGAGGGAAGAGGAGGAGGGGCGCGCTTGTGAGACAAAAGAAGTCAGGTAACCATGTCTACCTTTCTTAGAATCATGTAAATAGTGGAATAACTGACCTCCTCCTAAGTAAAATGATGATTGTTTCTTAGAAAGAGTCCTTATTTGTGGAATGTTTTTAACACGATGTACTGATTTCAGATTGGGATGGCTCTCTGTGAAATATGATGTAAACTGGGTGTAAAATACAGATGGTTTCAAAACCGAAAACAAATATTTAATTCTGAGAAACCACTAATAACACTGGAAATTTGGAGGATGAAGTTAATGAAAGCCAGCATGGTAAGACAAAGCTTGATGGGGAAGATGAAATATACACACACACGGATATAAAGGATACACACACAGGGATACAAAGGAAAATTTCCAGGAGAAAAACAATGATGAAACATTATAAAAACCTACATAAAAAATATTAAAAGTATTCTAAAGCTTAAAATATACATTCTTTTTTCTAAGTTTTAAAACTGCAATAAAATACACATAAATTTGAGCAGCTCAGCCACTATACATACAGTTAATGTAGTAAGTTAAAACAGGCTTTTATACATGATATGTAGTAAGAATGACCTACCATGGCAATTCAGGAGGTATCTTAAAAATAAAAAAAAACAGTCTGGGCATGGTGGCTCATGCCTGTAATCCCAGCACTTTGGGAGGCTGAGGTGGGTGGATCACGAGGTCAGGAGTTCAAGACCAGCCTGGTCAATATGGTGAAACCCTGTCTCTACTAAAAATACAAAAATTAGCGGGCATGGTGGCGTGTGCCTATAGTCCCAGCTACTGGGGAGGCTAAGGCAGGAGAATCGTTTGAACCTGGGAGGCGGAGGTTGCAGTGAGCTGAGATCATGCCACTGCTCCAGCCTGGGCAACAGAGACTCCATCTCAGAAATAAATAAATAAATAAATACATAAATACATAAATAAATAAATAGGCCTGGAGCAGTGGCTCATGCCTGTAATTGCAGCACTTTGGGAGGCAGAGGTGGGTGGATCACCTGAAGTAAGGAGTTTGAGACCAGCCTGGCCAACATGGTGAAACCCCGTCTCTACTAAAAATACAAAGAATTAGCCAGGGGTGGTGACTCACACCTATAAATCCCAGTTACTTGGGAGACTGAGGCAGAATTGCTTGAACCCGGGAGGTGGAGGTTGCAGTGAGCCGAGATCATGCCATTGCACTCCAGCCTGGGCAACAAGAACAAAACTCCATCTCAAAAAAAGTAATAAAAATAAAAATAAAATAATAAAAATAATAAAAAAAGACTGGCCTACCACTTTGAGAGCAGTATTTTGAAAATAATTAAACACAACTTTGGACTTGCATAGTAGGGTGAGAATCTGAGTACATTTAAAAGCAAGTACAAGGCACTACTTAGCCTGAAGGAAAAACAGGAAAACAGTTAAAAGCAGAGATGCAACATGATAAGAGTGGCGTGTCAGGAAATTACAGGGAAAACTCCCATGTCAGAAGCAAGTGCCACATTGCAGGAACTAGCCATACAGACTATAAAAAATTCCAGACATTAAATACAGAAGGCAGAGGCTCAGGTCCTAATCATATTTTGGAATATTAAAATTTTAATTTGGTTCACATTAGACCTACACCCCAAAACGTAAGGGAAAAACTTCAACAATCCTTATTTTCAGCTTAAAATAATATATTCGAGATGAATGCTTCATGTTCAGTTTAACTTGGTGTTAGTCCTCTAATGAATGTGTTAAAGAAGGCCACTTAGGAACAAGGAAAACAATGGTGAAAATTCTGTGGCACCTTGAAAGTCAATCAATCAAACATTTCCATTAGCAAACTGCAAATTTGATTACCAAATAAATGGGTATAGTTTACAAACATTTATCTGATAAATTTGTATTAGCTAGCTTTGATAAAAAATGAAAGATATTGCAAGCAATTTATAAGATTCTTAACTTAAAAAATTAAAAAAATTAAGTATTCATACCTTTGAGTCCATAAGAACTTTTGTTTGACAGATCCTGAGCTACGTTGTGAGTATCTGATGCCAGTTCTGTGGACCAATGTAAAATTGAGGGTTTAAACATATCAAAAGAATGAAAGTATTCATCACAAGAGAAGACAGTCACCGTCAAAGCTATGTATACGCTGCGTTACTGCCCAAGGACAGTGAAATGTAATTGAAATCCACACTCTTACAGGTCACTGCAAACCAAGTTATGAATTTTATCCCTGATGGCTCTTGGACGCTCAAATTACTTCAATTATTCTCACTCTCATGCCCATGTTTACCAAGTTCCCTTCTCATTCATCAAAGAGAGTATTCTAATCTGTTTAACAGGTACCAGTTTTTAGAAAACTTATCAATTAGCATTCTGAGTATACACAAGTCTTTCTAGTTTGGTTAATTTGAATGCTCCTCACATTGCGAACAGATTTGTGGTTACTGTACTGTCAACAGTTGGGTTTCTGAGCCTATAAGGCCGAGTCCTGGACTCAGAACTCCCTTATCAACAAGCCAATACCATTCTGTGAGGCCTCTGGAAAAATAGCCAGCACCATCAGCTGATGACATCCTTTAACTGTATTCTACAACAAACTGGTTTTGCTTATCTAAATGCTTTTCAGCAAGAAATCTGCTACTTTAAATAATAAGTGAGAGGAGATGAAAGAAGAAAGAGAGGAGGAAAGATAAAATAAGAAAAAAAGTAACTAATTGATTAATTCAACATTCTGCTTCAACAGTTGGACAACATTCGGCTTCAAAGCCATGGAAGTGGGCAGAGCTTCCACACACAGTTCTTCCACACTGTGTGGAAGCTGTGCACAGTGGTGCAGGGCTATAGTCCCAGCTACACAGGAGGGTGATGGAGGAGGATCACTTGAGCCCAGGAGTTTGAGGTTGTAGTGCACTAAGATTATGCCTGTGAATACCAACTATACTCCAGCCTGGGCAACAAATTGAGACCCCCATCTCTTAAAAAAAAGAAGAAAAAAAACATCAGTGGAGGTATTACTAAAGGCACTATAATATCACATACAGATTTTTGTTTGGATGTGTTTTCATTCCACTTTTATAAAAACCTAAGAATGGGGTTGTCAGATGGTATGATAAAGGTATGCTTTCCCACCAGGCATGTATATGAGTACCTGTTATTCCACAATCCTCACCAGCACTTGGAATTTTTCGTTTCCTTTAAAGTCATTTTAATAGGTGAATGGGCGTAACTCAATGTGGCTTTACTTTGTATTTCCCCAATGACGAATGATGATGAGCACATTCTTATGGATTTGTTTGCTATCCATTTATCATCTTCCCTTGTAAATGCAAATACTTTGCTTTCTATGAACTTTTTCTGTTAAAATAATTACAGATTCACAGGAAATTATCCTTCACCAGTCTCTATGTTGAAATAGACATTACACAAAATTTACCATGTCTAACCCTCTTCAAGTGTACAATTTAGTGGCACTGAGTATATTCCCAATGCTGTACAATCACTACTATCCATTTCTAGAACTTCTTCCATTTTTTTCCCCATTTTTAATTGCTCATTTGTTTTAGGGGGTTGTTTTCTTATTACTGAATTGTGAGAGTTCTTTATTTATTTTGTATATAAGTCCTTATCAAATATGGATTTTATATAAACATTTTCTCCAAGACTACAGCTCATCCTATCATTTTTCTCTTCAGAAGAATTTTACAATTTTTGATAAAATGTACTTTGTCAGTTTTCTCTTTTATGACTCAGGCTTATCAGATTCTATATAAGAAATCTTCACCTAACCTAAAGTCACTAAGATTTGCCACTATAAGTTCTTTGTAAGTTGTACTTTTAGGTTTCATGTTTAAGTGTAAACTTGCAGGGTAATTTTTGTATACGGTATAATGTATGGCATTGAACTGCCTTATAATCTTTGACAAAAAACAATTAGCCATATGTATATGTAAACTACTATGCTATTGATTTATATGTCTTGCTTACTGTAGCGTTAGAGTAGTTCTTACAATTAGGGAGTGTAGAACTTTTTTTTCTTTTCAAAACTGTTTACGCTACTTTAGTCCCTTTAATATTATATAAAAATTTTAGAGTCAAGTGGTCAAGGCCAGGCAAAATATCTCACACCTGTAATCCCACCACTTTGGGAGGCTGGGGTGGACAGATCACTTGAGGTCAGGAGTTCAATACTGACCCAGCCAACATGGTGAAACCCCGTCTCTGCTAAAAATACAGGAAAAAAAAAAAAAAACAGCTGGGCATGGTGGTGCACACCTGTAATCCCAGCTACTCAGGAGGCTGAGGTAGGAGATCACTTGAACCCAGGAGGTGGAGGTTGCAGTGAGGTGAGATCGCAACACTGCACTCCAGCCTGGGTGACAGAGTGAGAATCCATCTCAAAAAAAAGAATCAAGTTGTCAAAAATCTGAGAAGATTTTGATTGGAATTATGCTGAAGCTATCGATCAATTTGGATAGAAATGACATTTCAAAGATTTTGAGTCTTCCAATTCATGAACACTGAATATGTTCCCTTTTATGAGGGTCTTCTTTTATCTTTCCCAACATGTTGCATAATATCAACATACAAATCTTGCATATACATAGTCAGAAATACAATTATTTCTTGTTTTTTTGGTACTCTAAAAAAAGTACTGTTTTTCTTATTCTTTGTTTACAATTGTTCATTGCTAGTAAAGAAGCACCATAATTATATTTTAATGCTGGTTATAATTCTATACGCATTTGTTAGAATTCATCCTCTATACCTCTAAAGGGAGAATTTTATCATATATATATATAAACTACATCAACAAATTTGATTTTTTTTAAAAATCAGTGGGGAATATTTACATGAGATGGACTACCATGGATTAATAAATTCAAAGACTGAGTCAATAAAAACTAAATGTCACAACAGTAAGACTAAAATATATTAAAGTGGTATATCCCTCTATTTATTGTCTTATTTTCTCTCAATATTGTTTTCTATTTTTTCTAATCTTACATATTTTACATATCATTAGACTTATTCCTAGGTATTTGGTGTTTTCTGGAGCTACTATAGCAATTTTTTTCCATTTTCTGTTTGTTGACGATTTACAGAAATACATTCATTCATGAAACTTGTGTCTTGCATTTTGTGCTTGTGAAACTCTCCAATAATTCATCTATAGTTTCTTTTACACAATCACAGAAAACAACGGTTTATTCTCCCTTTCCAGTCCTTATGACTTACTTATTTTTCTTTATTGCACTGGCTAGGACCTCTAGAACAGTGCGAATGGAAGCAGTGACCACATGTTTTTATCCTGTTCCAGAGGAAAAACACTCAATATATCACCATTGACTGTAATACCTGCTGTAAGTTTACAGATATTCCTTATCTGATTAAGGAAATTCCTTGTATTTCTAATTGTCAGGGTTTTGTTTGTTTTTAATTAGAAAAATTATTTCTGCTCCTTTCATAGATCTTATTGTTCAGGAAACAGTCATACATACATATTTGGAATAACGTATTATCACACTCCCTATTAAAAGGCAAGGCACCATAGGTAACACTGATCAGCCATCCAGAATTCTCAACTTATGGAATCTTGCTTCTTGATTTTACATTAATTCTGAAAATCAGAAATGTCACCTACAAAAAAAAGTTAAAGGGGCTGTAAAACATAATCACTTTATTCAATATTATATTTGTAAACTGGAGTATATTTTCTTTAAAAAACGAAAAACTAAGAAGAAAATGTCACTCAACATCACTGATCTCAACAGATCAGCAGGAAAAAAAATACTATGATAAACTTGTCTCTGATACCAAGAAGAAATTTTACTCCAAGCATCAATACACTTCCAGTGCTTTCACTACATATTTCTTTATTGCTGCTCTTCATTCTTTTCCACATTTCACAATAGCGGATTGGTACAGACTTTAAAACTTCATTGACAGGAGCAAATCCAGTATCCATTGATTTATTCTCAAAAGGCACTCTAACCGATCAGATTGCCTGGCAGTTTCATTCTCATGAATACTCTAACTGTAAAAAAAAACTCAATAGGACACAAACAAATCCAAAGAATAGAAGAAGAAATCTGCTGCGTTTGGGGATATCTGGTGCATTTGACTGGTCCAGGATTATGAAAACTAAACCTCCCACTATAAACAGGAAGCTGGATGCAAGTCCTTCCATAATAATATATTGTCCATTTACTCTGTACACCAAGAAAGCTACTGGCCTCTGATGCCCATGTTCATCGGTCACAGAGCCAACACTTGGGGTTCAACAATAACATCATAAATTATTCCTCTGGTCATGAGGAAGCAAGACACCACCACCAAAGCATACACAGTCATGGCAGAAGGCATGTGCAGCCTGGTCGGCTTCGTCAGCTTCACGTTGGGACATTCGAGCACTAAGAATGGGCCGTGGTACAAAGTCTCCATGTTGCTGGAATCAAAGACCATTATCCGGCTCAAATCCCACATGCCATTCAGAAACACTGTTGGTTTGTTTTAATCATGAATGAATATTGAACGCTTTTCCTTACAGAAATAATCATAAGGATTTTTATCTTTAATTCTGTTAAATGGATAATACTTATTTCTGTATTTTTATATATAACACACATAACATGAAATCTACCCTTTTACAGTAGACGGCTGAATAATTTTTAGTATATTCACAATTTGTGTAACCATCACCTCTGAAACAAACCCCCTACTCATTCGTAGTCACTCACCACTTTTCCCAAATAGTTCCAGTCCTAGGCAACCACTAAGCTAATTTCTGTCCCTATAAATTTGCCTTAGACATTTCAGACAAATAAAATCATAAAACACAATATATGTGGTCTTTCTGTGACTCTGCATACTATTTTCAAGGTTCATTCATGTTGTAGCATGTACCTTAATTCCTTTTTATGGCTGAACATTATTCTATTCTATGTATATTCTATATTTTGCTTATACATTCATCCATTGATAAACATTTGAGGTTTCTTCCCCTACCCTGACAGACCTGTTCAATAGGAAGTATGGGTTGTTTCTACTTTCTTATAATTATGAATTATGTTGCTATGAATCTTTTTGTACAAGATGTTTATGTGAACCTACATTTTCCTGTCTTTTGGGTATGCATCTAGGAGTGGACTGATTTGCTTTTTAAAAGTTAAACAAACTAAGCTGGGCATGGTGGCTCATGTCAGTAATCCCAGCACTGGCTGGGTGGAAGGATCTTTGAAGCCAGGAGTTCAAGACCAGCCTCTGCAACAATGCAAAATCTTGTATCTACAAAAAATTTTAAAATTCACCCAGTGCAGTGGTGTGTGCCATAGTCCCAGCAATATGTACTAGGGAGGTTAAGGTGGGAGGATGGCTTGAATCCAGTGGTTTAAGGCTACAGTGAGTGATGATCACACCACTGCACTCCGGCCCGGACAACAGAGTGAGATGTTCTCTTAGAAAAAGAAAAGAAGGTGGGGCACGGTGGCTTACGCCTATAATCCCAGCACTTTGGGAGGCCAAGGTGAGTGGACCATTTGAGGTCAGCAGTTCGAGACTAGCCTGGCCAACATGGTGAAACCCTGCCTATTAAAAATTCAAAAAAATTAGCCAGGCATAGTGCCGGACACCTGTAATCCCAGCTACTCAGGACGCTGAGGCAGGAGAATCACTTGAACCTGGGAGGTGGAGGTTGCAGTGAGCCAAGATCATGCCGTTGTACTCCAGCCTGGGTGACAGAGACTCCATCTCAAAATCCCCCCACCCCAAAAAACACAGTTAAGCAAACTTAAATACCAGGTGTAATTCATTCTTTCTCTTTCGTTCTTTCTTTCTCTCTCTCTTTCTTTTTTTGAGACAGAGTCCTACTCTGTCACCCAGGCTAAAGTGCAGTGGCACAATCTCAGCTTACTGCAACCTATGCCTCCCAGATTCAAGTGATTCTCCCACCTCAGCATCCCAAGTAGCTGAGACCACAGGCATATGCTACTACACCCAGCTAATTTTTGTATTTTTTTGCAGAGATGGGGTTTCACCATGTTGCCCAGGCTGGTCTCAAACTCCTGAGCTCAAGTGATCTGCCCACCTAAGCCTCCCAAAGTGCTGGGATTACAGGTGTGATTTAACACGCTCGACCCAAGCATAATTTTAACGTGGTTATGGTAACCTTTTCCTGTTTCTGTCTTACTGAATTCTATTTTCAAATACTTAGGTTAAAGATTTTTATAAGAGTGAAATTAGTCAGTAATTCCAAACTTGTTGCCAAAAAAAAAAATCGACATATAGTATCTTATAATCTCCTTAATAGCTGTATGATCTATATCAATATTCCTTTTCTCCTTCCTGGAACTAATTACTCATGTTCTTCACCTTCCCTTGATGATCTCATAAGAAGCTTAACAATTTTACTAGTGTTTTCAAATAACAACTTACAAATTTTGTTGACCTTCTTTACAATTTCTCTATTTACAGTTGATTAGTTGTGATTCTGGTCGTACTCTCTTACTTTCTGGCTAGGGTTGATGTTATATGGATGCTTGTGTGCATTATTTTATTTTATTTTTTATTTTTTGAGACACAGCCTTGCTCTGTTGCCAGGTTGGAGTGCAGTGGTACAATCATAGCTTATATCATCCTCAACCTCCCAGGCTCAAGTGACACTCCCCTCTCCAGCCTCCCAAGCAGCTGGGACCATAGGCGCACACCACCAAGCCATGTTAATTTTTTATGTTTTCTTAGTATAGATGAGATCTTACTATGTTAATCAGGCTCACCTCAAACTGTGGCTCAAGTGATCCTCCCGCCTCAGCCACCTAAATGCTGAGATTACAGGCATGAACCACTTGCACCAGGGCTTGATAATTTATTGAACTATATTCTAAATCTAGGTTATATTTCATTGTGTTAAATTATGTTTTTGTTTTTGTTGTTGTTGTTTTGAGATGAAGTCTCGCTCTGTTGCCCAGGCTGGAATGCAATGGCACGATCTCGGCTCATTGCAACCTCCACCTCCTGGGTTCAAGCGATTCTCCTGTCTCAGCCTCCTAAGTAGCTGGGATTACAGGCATGCACCACCAAGCCTGGCTAATTTTTTTGTATTTCTGTAAAGACGGGGTTTCACCATGTTGGCCAGGCTGGTCTCGAATTCCTGACCTCAAATGCTCCATCTGCCTTGGTCTCCCAAAGTGCTGGGATTACAGGTGTGAGCCACTGCACCTAGCTAAATTATGTTTCTATAAGTATAATCTCAATACTTACTGTACAAAGAGCTCTATATAAATAAACAACCAATATTTACCCCAAGAATTTCAGAAAATAAATAATCCAGAAACAGCATGATACAGAAAAACCTGCAGTAGCAAGCAACGTTGCTACAAATCCATCTATCATCTACCACATTATCATACATTATCTGACCAAATAATCCACCATTAGAAATGGGAAGTACTTCCAGTAAAAAATCTTCTCCTCAGAAATTCTATATATCTGTGACATACTTTGATTGGAGTGTGGGTTTGTGCTGATTTATGCCAATTACCTTATATAGCCTCTTTCTTAGCTCGCAGAAGGGAAAATCAAATTATTTGTTATCATGAGATTTATATGTGACAGACTTTGGTGGTAAGAACCAACTAAGAATAGTTTCAGAGGTAGGACAGTAGCCTGTTTTTCATTCTTTCCCATCAGCACATTTAGACTTCATCTTTGTATGAGAACATAAAACTCTTAATAGCTCAAACATTTAAAACTCATCTCTGGCAAAAACAGAACACTTACCAGTTCCCTCATCTGCACCATTCTGAGCAGCTTCCCAAACTACTAGCTTTGTCCCACACACATCTGTAGATGTAGAATCTGAATAGTCCGCAGGATTAAATGTCCTGGGGTTTGAAATAAAGAAATAATAAAGGCAAAAGAAGCAAGAACCTAAGCCAAAATATTAACCATACATGATCTTCCACCAAACAAGCCCAGTGTCTTCTCACAGCCACTGTAAAAGACATCACCTCTCCTTCCCCTATTTAAATATAACTAATTCTGCCAGCCATGGAGATGCAGATGTGAAAACCAGAAGCTGCCTAGGGACCTTCCACACATTCTGGTATAATAGCCTTATTTTCCTAAAACATGGTCCTCAGCATCCTAAAGCAGACAAGGAGACCCATAATCTTTCAAGGCAGAATAAGGGCTCTCATAAGAGTCCTGCTGAAAAATAAGGAATAAATAGGGAACACAGGTATTTTCTTCCCAAGTCAGAATCCAAGTTTGGCTTTGAACCTTTTATAGCTTAGAATTATATGCTCCTTTATAGAAACATCAGATAAAGAAGAAAACATTTTATTCAGCACCTCTATTTCTTTTCAATAAAATCCTAAACTGAACACCCAGTTTAACTGAATCATGGTTCAGAGGTCTAACAAGAGCCAAAACAAATATTACCTTTAAAATTTTCACAAAGGAATGTGAAGTAAACAGAAAAATCCACAAAACAATTTACAGCTAATGGGCAGGGCTATGTCTTAAAGCGCTCCTGAGAGTTTGCTCCCTGTGTTTTCATCCCTCCTTTTCCTCGAAGGAGCTTAGGCAGAAGGCAGATTGCAGGAGGCACTACCACTTATCTAGAAGGCACTGACACCAAGAGTGCTGCTGCCTGAAGTTAGAGAGAGACAAAGGACTTTTCTTGGAGCCAATTCCCTTCCTTGACTGCATCTACGTATGGCTTCCACAGGATGTTTTAAAACTTTTTCTAAAAATTCAATGGGAGCTAATGTTTTAGAAGCAACAAAAAGTAAAATAACACCCAGAAACAAGAAATAAACCTCTGATTTTACTACCTTTGAGTCTGTTCAATGTTCACTATTACAATTCAGGAAAAAGATATCACTTATACATAAATAAGCACTACATTTACTTAGCATTCAAAGACAATGGCTGGATTAACTAAATGGCCCTTAGGCAGTGCCATTTAGGTATGTCTGTAGGTATGTTGTCACAACTTCAGGTGACTGCTACTGATATTTATTAATAGTACAGAGAGGACAGATGTTGCTAAACATCCTACAACATACAGGAGACCCTACCACTCCATGGAAGTATTATCCAATCCACAATCAATCGTGCCAAGGCTAGAAACCCTGCTCTAATGCCTATTTAAAAGATCAGTTTTATTCATATTATTTTTCTTATTTGTAAATCTCTTTAAGTATAGAAAACACTAGATTCACCATGATGATCAAATTAGATGCAGGGTATTAGAGGCAATTGAAGCATAAAAACTAGGGAATTAAATAACTATAAAAATAGGATGGCTATGACTTACCCCATGCCTTGGGTTGAGAACCTTCCTGCCCCTCTCCCTCTGCCACGTCCAAATCCTTTAAAAAAAAACAAACAATTATATTATAAAATAATATTCATGACCTACACAATTACACTTCCTTCTTCATCCTATACTCACTACTCAGACAATATTATCATTGTCCCTAATGGCACCAACATTCCAATCCAGGGCATCCAATTTCCAATTTACTGATCCCTGATGATACAACTACCTATACCCAGTTAGTGACTTCTAAGGCTAGAAAAGAATTAAATTCTCCTTGTATTATATTTGTGGTATTTGACAGCTAAACACAGGAAGGTTATATTATAAAACAGTCTGCACCTTTTAAAATCAGGAAGGGCAAACACCATGGAATTATAAGCCACTACTATAAAATGAAATGAGAACCAGAAAGAGGAAAATTCAAAGTAAGCTGAAGGCACTGTTAAATATCATTTTAAATACTAGGTCTTTGATCAAAGACCAAAATGGCAGCAAGCATGGGAATAAGCAAACAAGAAGAGAAAATTATGACTAGCACCTTTCCACATTCTCTCTTCATTAAAATCCTGAACTGAAGAGCAAAGGCCTAAATTTAAGAGCTATAACTATAAAATTCTCAGAGAAAAACACAAAGCAAATGCTTTACAACACTGGATTTAGCAATGATGTCTTCAATATGACACCAAAACTACAGGCAAAAAAAGAAAAACTAGACAAAATGGACTTTATGAAAATTAAAAACTTTTCTGAGACAGGCATGGTGGCTCACACCTATAATCTCAACAATTTGGGAAGTTGAGGTGGAAGGGTGGCTTGAGCAAGGAGTTCAAGGCCAGTCTGGGCAATACAGGGAGACTCCCTCTCTACAAAACTATTTTTTATGGGCACGGTGGCATGAGCCTCTAACAAAAAATTTTTTTTAATTAAAAAATCCAATCCAGGGCCGGGCGCGGTGGCTCAAGCCTGTAATCCCAGCACTTTGGGAGGCCGAGACGGGCAGATCACGAGGTCAGGAGATCGAGATCATCCTGGCTAACACAGTGAAACCCCGTCTCCACTAAAAAATACAAAAAACTAGCCGAGCGAGGTGGCAGGCGCCTGTAGTCCCAGCTACTCGGGAGGCTGAGGCAGGAGAATGGCGTAAACCTGGGGGGCGGAGCTTGCAGTGAGCTGAGATCCAGCCACTGCACTCCAGCCTGGGCGACAGAGCGAGACTCGTCTCAAAAAAGAAAAAAAGAAAAAAAGAAAAAAAGAAAAAAAAAATCCAATCCATCTTCCCCATAAATTCTAATAAGATAATAGAATTATTGTTTCGCACTCACCTGGCAGTAATGCTACTAGTAACATTGGTTTCTGTGTATATACCATTTCCCTGCATTGTTATCTGGAAGGAACAGATTAATCTAGCAGCTCGGAATAAAAATCCAGTGTATTTTAATCATGAAAACCAAGTCCAACGTTTCCAAAGATTATCAAAGTGAATAAACCATGTTATGGTAAATGCTGTACCTTTCCTCCTCAAGCCCTGGGACTCTACTACGTATCTGTTGAATGACTGGTCAAGGGTTTTTTTTTTTTTAATTTTTTTGAGACAGAGCTTTGCTCTGTCACCGAGGTTGGAGTGCAGTGGCGTAATCTCAGCTCACCACAACCTCCGCCTCCCAGGTTCAAATGATTCTTGTGCCTCAGTCTCCCGAGTAGCTGGAATTACAGGCCTGTGTCACCATGCCTGGATAATTTTTGTATTTTTAGTAGAGACAGGGTTTCACCACGTTGTCCAGGCTGGTCTTGAACTCCTGACCTCAAGTGATCCACCCACCTCACCCTCTCAAAGTACTGGGATTACAGGCGTAAGCCACTACCCCCCGCTTCAAGTTTTGACTAATATTTACATATGCCATGCTAAGAATCGAAATGGAAAAGTTGCTCATTACTTTTTTTTTCTTTTTCTGAGTTGGGATTTCACTGGCCATATTGGCCAGGCTGGTCTTGAACTCCCGGCTTCCAGTGATCCGCTCACCTCAGCCTCCGAAAGTGCTGGGATTATAGGTGTGAGCTACCATGCCTGGCCTAGTTGCTCATTACTCTGAAAGCCGAAATTCAAAGAACAACCAACCACCCCTACTGGGGCAGATCTTAACTGCAGACATCCCTCCTTTTCAAACAGCCTGAAGGGAAGCAAATGCAGAAAATGGGCCTAATCTAAAAAGATAGAAAGCACTCCTTCCCCTCATCCCCAAAAGATAGTAAGAAGGACTTTAAAAGCTAGCTGTGCCACAGGGTGGGGAACATCCCACACCGGGGCCTGTTGTGGGGTTGTGGGAGAGGGGAGGGACAGAATTAGGAGATCTACCTAATGTAAATGACCAGTTAATGGGTGCAGCACACCAACATGGCACATGTATACATATGTAACAAACCTGCATGTTGTACACATGCACCCTAGAACTTAAAAGTATAATTTAAAAAAAAAAAAAAAAAAGGGCTAGCTGTGCCAGAGGCCAGCCTGAGCAACATAGCAAGACCCGGCCTCAAAAAAATTCCTGATTTCTCAGGACTAGTTCAATAATATAGATGGTACTACTTCCATGTCCGGGACCTGTTCAGGCCACAAACAGAAGGGGGCATCTTTGGTGTTTTTCTGGCTCAGAGACTTGGGAGTCTATCCCCCTACATTCTCAGAGTCTGGAATAACCCCCCCCAGCCTCAAAGAATACTACATTAATCAAATGAAAATGACAAAACATCCCTGGAATTCACTGAGGAACAAAGCTTATTTACAGCAATATCTTCAACAACACAATAGGTATGTAAATATCAGTTGCTACATTTAAGACTGATATATGGCCAGGACCAGTGGCTCACGCCTGTAATCCCAGCACTCTGGGAGGATCACGGGCGGATCACAAGGTCAGGAGATGGAGACCATCCTGGCTAACGCGGTGAAACCCTGTCTCTACTAAAAATACAAAAAATTAGCCAGGCGTGGTGGTGGGTACTTATAGTCCCAACTACTCAGGAGCCTGAGCCAGGAGAATGGCGTGAACCCAGGCGGGGGAGCTTGTAATGAGCCAAGATTGTGCCACTGCCCTCCAGCCTGGGCAACAGAGCGAGACTCCATATCCAAAAAAAAAAAAAAGTAGAGGAACTAATCTGAGTTACTAAATACAAAACAGTAAGATAAAGCAGTGAGAAAGGTTACAGAATAAACTATTGTTGCCTTTTTTGCATTATTTTTCTTCCATCCAGAAGGAAACCAAACCCTGTAACTTCAAGTGCAATTCATTAGCAGCCAGGTGCAGTGGCTCGTGCCTGCAATCCCTCTGCTTTAGGAGGCCAAGGGAGGAGGACTGCTTGGAGTCAGGAGTTCAAAACCAGCCTGGGCAACACAGGGAGACCTGTCCCTACAAAAATGCTTTTAAAAATTAGCTGGGCATAGCCAGGCGCGTGGCTCACACCTATAATCCCAACACTTTGGGAGGCCGGGGCAGGCGGATCACAAGATCAGGAGATCCGAGACCATCCTGGCTAACATGGTGAAATCCCATCTCTATTAAAAATACAAAAAATTAGCCAGGCACGGTGGCGGGCGCCTGTAGTCCCAATTACTCGGGAGGCTGAGGCAGGAGAATGGCGTGAACCCGGGAGGCGAAGCTTGCAGTGAGCTGAGAGTGCACCACTGCACTCCAATCTGGGTGACAGAGCGAGACTCCGTCTCAATCAATCAATCAATCAATAAAAGAAAAAGAAAAAAAATTAGCTGGGCATTGTGATGTGCACCTGCAGTCCTATCTACTCAGGAGGCTAAGGCAGGAGTATTGCTTGAGCATAAGAGTTGGAGGTTGCAGTGAGCTATGATCATGCCACCGTACTCCAGGATGGGCAACAGAGCGAGACCCTGTCTCTAAAAAAATAAACAATAGTTCACTACCTTACTTGACTCAATCTCACCAGAAGAAAAGACCAAAATAATGCATATAAGCTGCTAAACCATGTATCAATACACGAGATAAAGAAACATACAAAAGAAGAAAAGTAACTTAAATACACATTTAAGCCTGACTTACATGGAGAAACCCTACTCTACTGAAAACACAAAATTAGCTGGGCATGGTGGCACATGCCTGTTATCCCAGCTACTTGGAAGGCTCAGGCAAAAGAATTGCTTGAACCCAGGGGGCGGAGGTTGTGATGAGCCAAGATCCCACCATTGCACTCCAGCCAGGGCAACAAGAGCGAAACTCCCGTTTCAAAAATAAAAATAAATAAAAAATAAACAATAAAAATGAAAATAGGTTGGGCGTGGGGGCTTACGCCTGTAATCCCAGCACTTTGGGAGGCCGAGGCGGGCGGATCACTAGGTCAAGAGATCGAGACCATCCTGGCCAACATGGTGAAACCCCATCTCCATTTAAAAACACAAAAATTAGCTGAGCCTGTAGTCCCAGCTACATGGGAGGCTGAGGCAGGAGAATCGCTTGAATCCTGGAGGCAGAGGTTGCAGTGAGCCGAGATTGCACCAGTGCACTCCAGCCTTGAGACAGAGCAAGACTCTGTCTCTAAATAAGTAAATAAATAAATAAAATGTGTAACCAGTGAAACCCCATCTCTACTAAAAATACAAAAAATTAGCCAGGCATGGTGGGGCTCATGCCTATAGCCCCAGCTGCTCAGGAGGCTGAGGTGTAAGAATCACTTGAGCCCAGGATTTCGAGGTTTCAGTAAGTTATGATCATGTCACCGCACTCCAGGCTGGGCAACAGTGAGATACTGTCTCTTAAGAGAAGAAAAAAAAAAAAAAGTAGACAAAGAATCTAAAAAAACAATACACAAATGGCCAAAAGGTACACAAAAAATGTTCATCATTAAACATCAACAAAATACAAAGAAAGCCACAAAGAGGTATCATCTTACCCCAGTTAGAACAGCTATTATCAAAAAGACAAAAAGTAGCCTATAATCCCAACTACTGAGGTGGCTGAGACAGGAAGATTGCCTGAACCCAGGAGTTCAAGACTGCAGTGAGTTATGATCATGCCACTACATCTAATTAATTAAGCAAATTAAACAGATGCTGGTGAAGACACAGGGAAAAGGGAACTCTCATACACTACTGGTGGGAATACAAACTGGTGCAGCCATTTTGGAAAACAGTATGGAGATTTATCAAAAACAAAAAATTGAATTACCATATGATCCAGCAATCCCATTACTGGATATTTATACAAAGAAAAGGAAACCAATAGTGCTTCATAGTTGCCAGGTTGGGGTGGCTGTGGCAATTTCTCTTCTTTCTAAATTTTTAACTTTTTACTGATACATAATATTTAAACACATTTATGGGGTACATGTGGTACTTTGCTACATGCAGAGAATACATAATTATCAAGTTGTGGTATTCAGGGTATCCGTTACTATGAGCGTTTATCATTTCTATGTGTTGAGAACTTTTCAAGTCCTCACTTCTAGCTATTTTGAAGTGAAGCACTATTCACAATATTCACAAATACAGAGAATCAACCTAAGTGTTCATCAACAGATGAATGGATTTCAAAAAGTGATAAATTTACACGTTGGAATACTATTCAGTCATAAAAGAATGAAATGATATCCTCTGGAGCAACATGAATGGACCTGGAAGACACCGTATTAAATAAAATAAACCAGACACAGAAAGACAAGTATCACACGTACTCACTCACATGGGAGCTAAAAAAGTTATCTCATGCAGGTAAAGAGTGGAAAGATAGTTACCAGAGGGAGAGAAGGTGATGGGTATAGAGGGTAGGGAATAAAGAGAGATTGGTGGATAGGTTAAAACACAGAAGGAATAAATTCTAGGCATTGCTCGGTGGCTCATGCCTGTAATCCCACCACTTTGGGAGGATTAGGCGGGTGGATCACTTGAGGCCAGGAGTTTGAGACCAGACTGGTCAACATGGTAAAACTCCATGTCTATCAAAAATACAAAAATTAGCTGGGCATGGTGGAATGCACCTGTAGTCCCAGATACTCAGGAGGGTAAGTGGAAAGATTATTTGAGCCCAGGAGGTAGAGGTTGCAGTTGGCTGAGATGGTGCCACTGCACTCCAGCCTGGGTGACAGAGTAAGACCCTGTCCCAAAAAAAGGGAGTAAGTTCTAATGTTCAACAGTAAAGTAAGGTGACTACTTAACAATTACATATTATACACTTCAAAATAGCTGAAGTGAGGACTACAGCAAAAAGACTACAACTCACTGAAGGCTCAAATGAACATAGCCTTTTTTAGCAATAAAGTATTTTTAAAGTAAGGTTTTAAAAACCCTATTGCATTGTATTCCAAATGTAACACAATTATAATTTGTCAATGCTTCTGGTTAGAGCTTTAAGTTTTAAATTATTCATAGAAAGGGCTTTCTCAGCTCATCCAAAAACAACCCTTTGGTTTCTTCAAAACTACGTAACACAAAATAGTTCACTTACAGGCATCAGTAAACAAACGATCAGATTTTAAGACGACCTGCCACTCTTTCAGAACACACTGCTATCCCTAGTCAGAGTCCACTAGTCAGAGTCCAGCAAAGCAACCGCCTGCTTCTTCCTCCTAATTGAAAGCATTTTCTTCTCTCTTACTCTAGCTTACCTCTACCTCGGGCTCGCTTGCCACGATCTGAAGGTTTGTCCACTTGATTGCAATCAATTCCATTTTCTTCACCTCTAACTAGGGGAAAAAGAGCAGAAAAATCAAATTTCCATTTCCAAACCTCCTGTACATAACCTTACCAAGCACCTATTAAAGGCAAAGAAGGAATGACAAACAGGCTACAATTTAAACAACGGGTTCAGAAACAGGAAAAACAAAAACATAAGTGACTTAAAAACTGAATGAGGTCAGGCACAATGGCTTACACTTGTAATTCTAGCACTTGTAATTTCCAGCTGAGGGGGGCAGATCTCTTGAGCTCAAGAGCTTGAGACCAGCCTGGGCGACATACAAAAAAAATATAAAAACTGGCCAGGCGCAATGGCTCATATCTATAATCCCAGCACTTTGGGAGGCTGAGGCAGGCGGATCACTTGAGGCCAGGAGTTTGAGACCAGCCTGGCTAACACAAGGAAACCCCGTCTCTACCGAAAAATATAAAAATTAGCCGGGTGTGGTGGCGTGTACCTATAGTTCCAGCTACTTGAGAGGCTAAGGCAGGAGATTGCTTGGACCCAATAGGCAGAGGTTGCAGTGAGCCGAGATCTCCTCCCTGCACTCCAGTCTGGGCAAGTGAGCAACACTCTGTCTCAGTAAAAATACAACATACAAAATACAAAAAATATGAAAATCAGCCAGGCATGGTTGTGATGGCGTGCAGCTAGTAGTCCCAGCTACTCAGGAGGCTGAGGTGGGAGGATCACCTGAGCCCACGGAGGTCAAGGCTGCAGTGAGCTGTGATCACGCCACTGCACTTCAGCCTGGGGGGAAGAGTAAGACCTTGTCTCAAAAAAAGAAGTAAAAAAAAAAAAAAGAGAAAAAGAAATCACATCTTCCTTAATTCACATGAAAATTCTGAAAACAAATTAAAATAACATACTGATTTTTCTTTCTTCTTTGTGGACTTGCTGTGAAGTTTTTGCTTCAAAAAAACTACCTCCATTATGCAACTACGTTAATATATCACAGAATTTGATCATTAGTTACGTTCAAAGCCTGGAAAGGCACAGAATAGCAAAATAGTAATACCAAGGAAACACTGAGTTCTTAGAAAAACTAAAGTGTTAGAATTGGGTTTTTCTAGAATATTAACCGGAAGATGCCAACTCGCAGTCTTTTCTTTTTCTCATCCCTATATTAGCATTAATAGCTCTATATAATACAGAAATTTTATAAACGATATTGGAATGGCTTGCTCCCCTCACCTCTGTCAGAGGTTGACTCACATAAATTCCAGTGAGGCTTTCCTTGGCAACCCACTTATATTTGCCAGACCTCTTCCCATAATTTGCATCTCTCTTTCTGCCTTTGTCTTTCCCTATAACATAATTTCTACATAACGCCATTAAAATATATTAATATAAAATATTTTATCTCCTTTATTGTTACATCCTATTTGACCTTCTTTAAAATATAAGTTTTAGAAGGGCAAAGATTTTACCTATTTTATTCATTGCTGTATGCCTATAAAAGTATCCACTACATAGTAGATACTCAATAAATATCGGTGGAATATATGAGACAGCAAGAGTCTCTAGAGTGATACGTTAAACATTTACATTTTATTCTTTCATAACTTAGCTACACTGACACACTGCCAGAGCAGACAGGGTTGTTTTGCAAAAACAGTGACAAAACCTAGAAAACCTAGGTCTAATGGAAATGAGACCTGCCTATGAGAAATCCTGCCTATTCAGCAACTTTTCTCTTAATCTAACTCTTGTCTTCCTATGAGAAATCCTGCCTATTCAGCAACTTTTCTCTTAATCTAACTCTTGTCTGCCTATGAGAAATTCTGCCTATTCAGCAACTTTTCTCTTAATCTAACTCTTGTCTGCATATGAGAAATCCTGCCTATTCAGCAACTTTTCTCTTAATCTAACTCTTGTCTATACCATGAGTCTCTATAAATGGAGAAGAAAAAAATAGCTTTATCTACCTGTAAGTAAATGACCCTGGCCACTTCTTTGCCACACACACACAATTCTAAAATTAACGAATGTGTCTGCCTTATAACAGAAGGCAGTCATAAGACACACTACACAACCACCTGCCTATAGCCCAGGTCAATGTTGATATGAAACCACATGGGAGGCTCTTATGAAACTACTCAGGTGCCACTCATTTCTAGTGTTAACTATTAGAACAAATTCTGCATTGAGGAAACAAATTTATGAGCATGCTATGGACTAATCTTTCAGTTGTTCAGAATGTAAGGAAACTCCTAAGAAAAAATTTGAGAAAGCTGAGCGCAGTGGCTCATGCCTGTAATTCCAACACTTTGGGAGGCTGAGACAGGAGGGTCACTCGAGACGAAAGAAGAGAAGAGAAAAAACTGAGGAGAAAGTCTGTACTTACATTCTCTGCCACGATTGCCACCTCTTCCTTTCCGGTTGTTGTTTCCACGTCCACGACTTGACTCTTTCTCGCTTTTCTTCTCTCTATTTTCTTTGTTTTCTGAATTTTCTTTTGCAAAATTCTTTTTCTTCCCCCCTACGGTCTCCCATGAAGTCTATCAGAGAGAACGGCTGTTAATCATTTATCATTCCAAGTGTGTATAATTATCAAGAGCACATGCATGTTATCTTTCTTTTATTATTATTATTTTTTTTTTTTGAGATGGAGTCTCGCTCTGTCACCCAGGCTGGAGTGCACTGGCGTGATCTCGGTTCACTGCAAGCTCTGCCTCCCAAGTTCATGCCATTCTCCTGCCTCAGCCTCCTGAGTAGCTGGGACTACAGGCGCCCGCCACAACGCCCAGCTAATTTTTTGTATTTTTAGTGGAAACAGGGTTTCACCGTGTTAGCCACGATGGTCTCGATCTCCTGACCTCGTGATCCGCCCTCCTCGGCCTCCCAAAATGCTGGGATTACAGGCGTGGGCCACCGCGCCCAGCACATGCATGTATCTTTCAAATCTAACTACCCACAGCTTGCAGCTCACCTGCTTATCATTTATTTCCATATAGTTCTACTTTCTTGATGATAAAGATAACAATCTTCTTGCTAAGCTCCTGTTGCTAAATAATTACAGCTATTAGCTGACCTGACAAAATACTGTACATTTTCCCAACATACAGCCCCTTCCTATGCAAATTTAGGAATACAGTAAATGTCATTTCCCCAAGCTCCTATTCTACACCACCTCAGTTCTCTCTCTATTAGGCCTTAAATCTACGTATTAATTCAAAGACCACAAAATTACTTAGAATGATGCCCCAAAAGCTCCAGGAATACAACCTTGCCTGTTCCATTATTCAAACTAATTATCTAAAACAATTTAATGGCAGATAAGTAAAATTTTAGCTTGGTTTTGGTGGGCTTTTTAAAAATTTTAAAAGTACTTAAAATTTTAACCTCCAAAGAATTCTTCTAGTGAGAAGTCAAATAATTTATATAACCTGCCTTCTCCACCTCTTCCCGAATGGTGATACCAAACCTAATCATATCATATATATACAAATCGCTGAGAAAAGAAAGATACTACATTCTTGACTATAAGTGGATATAAAAATTATCAAGCAGGGTAGTTACAGAGAAATCCTCAAATTAGCCCAATAGTTTCTATTTACTTATTCATAATCTGCCTTATTTCAGAAGGGATTTGAAATGACTCCATCCAAAATTAAGAGTAGCAACTATTTTATGCTTTTTAAAAATCTTATGAAAAAACAAAATTTGACATTGTATATCCAAACTAAACATTAGCACTGGAAATTAATAAACTAAAATTTGGGTGATAAGCTGAATTATTTCCATAACAGTGGAAGCTAACTTCCAAACACTTTTTTGAAATGGAATATTTGGTCTTCTGCAAAGTTCTGATGAACTCACATATTTAATTAGATATAAAATGGATATGAACAAGATATAAATTATTTTCCACCTCTAAGTTTTGACAATGAAGATTGAATATACTGACACCTGATAGTTAAGGTGAAACAATCAGGTATTATCATACAGTTCTGGTGAGCATGCATCTATTTTAACTTTTCTAGAAGGTTACTTAGCAATAGTACCTCAAAATTTTATTTTTTTTGAGACAGAGTCTCACTCTGTCACCCAGACTGGAGTGCAATGGCGCGATCTCGGCTCACTGCAACCTCCAACTCCTGGGAACAAGCAATAACTCCTGTCTCAGCCTACCGAGTAGCTGGGATTACAGGCATACACCACCACACCCAGCGAATTTTTGTAATTTTAGTAGAGACGGGGTTTCACCATGTTGGCCAAGCTGCTGTCGAACTCCTGACGTCAGGTGATCCACCTACCTTGGCCTCCCAAAGTACTGGTATTACAGGCGTAAGCCACTGCGCTTGGCCTAGTACCCAAATTTTATTTGGTGCATACTCTTTCAACCCAGCAATTCTAATTCTAGGCCCTTATTCAAATAAAATAATGTGTCCAAGCACACTGGCTCACGCCTGTAATCCCAGCACGTTGGGAGTCCAAGGCAGGCAGATCACTTGAGGCCAGGAGTTGGAGACTATCCTGGCCAACATGGTGAAACTCCATCTCTACTAAAAATATAAAAATTAGCTGGGAGTGGTGGCAGGCACCTGTAATCCCAGCTACTCGGGAGGGTGAGGCAGGAGAATCACTTGAACCTGGAAGGCTTGATCCTAGGAGGTGGAGGCTTCAGTGAGCCAAGATCATACCACTTCTCTCCAGCCTGGGTGACAGAGCGAGACTCTGTCTCAATTACAATAACGTAATAATTGTTCAAACATTTACGTGCAGACAAAATGATCAACAGCATAAAAGGAGGGGAGGGGGATTCCCAAAATATCAAGTTCAGGAGACTAAGTAGTCTAGCGTATCCATAAATGGGGCAGTACACAGCCATTTTACCAGTTATATAGGTACATACAGAAAGAGGTCCTTGATAGAAACAGCAAGCTATCAGCAAACAGCATATAGAATTACATTTTTTAGTTCAAATAGAAGCCTATGTACTTACTAAAGGAAGTGGTATAAGTCATTATCTAAGTGAGGATGTTTAATTTGATGTAATCTTATATTTTTCTGTAATTATTTTCTAATTAAACAATAAAGCTTATCTATGCCAGAGAAAATAATGCCCATACTGCACAAACTCAATTTATTATGTTTGCTAATATGAAAATACGAGACAACTGTGTAAAACAGAATCCAGTCCTCTTAGGTTATAATACAAAAAGTAAATTCCAGAGGTCCTAGAAAAATCATCCCAGAAGAGTTGGCATAAAGTGTATGTATACACAATGTATATCTTTACACAGCCTCACCTAAAGGTACTCTATCTTTATAAAGGGGCCAACTGTCTTTGTAAAACACCTGAGAAACACTTTACCCCACTTCATATAGCAAATGATACCCTGGCCAGGCGCAGTGGCTCACACCTGTAATCCCAGCCCTTTGGGAGCCCAAGGTGGGCAGATCATGAGGTCAGGAGTTCCAGACCGACCTGGCCAACATAGTGAAACTCCATCTTTACTAAACATACAAAAATTAGCAGCCAAGCGCAGTGGCTCATGCCTGTAATCCCAGCACTTTGGGAGGCTGAGGCAGGCAGATCACTTGAGGTCGGGAATTCAAGACCAGAGTGACCAACATGGAGAAATCCCATCTCTACTAAAAATACAAAACTAGCCGGGCATGGTGGCGCATGCCTGTGATCCCAGCTACTTGGGAGGCTGAAGTGGGAGAATTGTTTGAACCTGGGAGGCAGAAGGTTGTGGTGAGCCAAAATATTACACTCCAGCCTGGGCAACAAGAGCAAAACTCCATCTCAAAAAAAAAAAAAAATTAGCCAGGCATGGTGGCAGACGTCTGTAATTCCCAGCTACTCAGGAGGCTGAGGCAGGAGAACTGCTTGAACCTGGGAGGCAGAGGTTGAGGTTGCAGTGAGCTGAGATCATGCCAATGCACTCCAGCCTGGGTGACAAGAGCAAGACTCCATCTCAAAAAAATAAAAATAAAAAAAAGGGCACCCTCCCCATCCTGCTGCCCCTCAAGCAAAGTCTTGGTTTATGAGATCTACAAAGACAACTTATTTGAGGGTGGCAAATAGGGAAAAGAACCTTTAAGAAGCAATCTTTACAATGCCATAGTAACTGCTAAAAAGATTACTGTGTATTTTGCAGAAGTCTGCAAAACATGCACACATGCATACTTTGAAAAGTCAACCAAGTAATTATAGAGGATTTCCAAGAGAATTTCTGGCAACCTCTGTTATCGGTATTTTGCTACTTGTAGAATGGGTCTGAAGAAAAAGAGGAGAGGTCCTCCCAGTCACCATGTAATAATCAGAACAGCAGTCTTCAAAGCCAGCTAGTTCAAAAATTACTCTCCCACCACTTTGCCTTTGCCAAAAACTACCAACACAAACAACTTACTAAAAACAGTAAGTACATTAATGCAAGAGACTAATACTTCAAAACAATTTTGTCACACCAACCAAACATTATGATGAAACAAAAAGTTCAGTACTTGTGTTCAATATCCTCCTTTGTGACAGATATACTTACATAAGAAAAAATAAACTTATCCTTAAAAATATCACGGACGATTCCACTTAATACCTTTTCCAAGTAATAATTTTGTTTCAGAAGACTTTAGCACAGAGGAAAGTTAGAATCGTTTGCCTTCATGCTGTTGCTCCTAGCAACATCACAGTGTTTATATTCTGTCAACTCTACTCCAATTAACTCTATCTCAGTCAAGGGAAGATAATCAAAGCCATTTAGCCATGGGTGCTGCAGACGGCAACCAGGTAAGAGATGAGGCAAACAGTATGAGAGACAAGATGTACCAGAGAATGGTCCTGAACAAACCAGGGATTCAAAGACTTCCTCCAGCCTGAGCAACATAGAAACACAGAGAGACTCTATCTCTACAAAATATAAAAATAATTAGCCAAGTGTAGTGGCATGTGCCTGTGGTCTTGGCTACTCGGCAGGCTGGAGGATGGCGTAAGCCCGGGAGGTTGAGACTGCAGTGAACCATGATGGCACCACTCTACTCTAACCTGGGCAATGGAGTGAGACCCTGTCTTAATAAAAAAAAAAACCCCAAAACACCGAACAACTAAAACAAAGACTTTCCCTCTACTTCTGTATTTCCCCCACAGCCCACTCAGCCCCGAACAAGTGTATTCTTTCACAACTATAGTCAGAACTTCATCTGCTATTTTCTTAGCTTTGAAGAAAACAAAAGTCAGATATAGCCCACACTATAAAATTGTTCAAGAGGTAACCAAAAAGACATTCACGAAAAATTCAGCTTTACTTTTTTTTTTTTTTTTTTGAGACCGAGTCTCGCATTGTCGCCCGGGCTGGAGTGCAATGCCGCGATCTCGGCTCACTGCAACCTCCGCTTCCTGGGTTCAAGCGATTCTCCTGCCTCAGTTGCCTGAGAGGCTGGGATTACAGGCGCCCACCACCACACTTGGCTAATTTTCTGTATCTTTAGTAGACATGGGGTTTTGCCATGTTGGCCAGGCTGGTCTCGAACTCCTGACCTTGTGATCCACCCACCTTGGCTTCCCAAAGTGCTGGGATTACAGGTGTGAGCCACCGCGCCCAGTCAGCCTTACTTTCTAATACATAGCCTAGAAGCACCTCCTTCAGGTTCTGTCCCAAATGAGAAGGGGGTGTTAAAACTCAAAACAGAAAGAGAAAACTGGACATTTAAGACTTAAAAATTCACCTAACTACCAGAGAAAAGGAATTAAATCTGCTGCAGCTAAAGAAAAGGCAACAAAAATTAGTGTCCGGACTTACCTCTGCCATAAAAAGATCCAAAAAGATCCCCTCCAGTGAACAATTTGGATTATTTTGTTTATTCCCAAAGATTTTTTTTTTTTTTTTTTTTTTTTTTAATTAAACGAAGAGGGCAGTTAGGCTCTTCAGTTCACTTTGAAAATAACTGAAAGCCATGCTCTGCTGTATCCATTAGCAATAAGGTAAACAGATCCTCCATATTTTGCAAAACCAGGATACTTATTCCCAAGTCAGTAAACCAAAATTATTCAAAATTTTAATTTATCATTTAACATGGCTTTCCCCCCGCCAAAAAATCACCAATTTAGTGGCTTGTCTTGTGTATCAGTGTTCTCTTACATGGAATTTTACCAACAATTACTGCTACACTCAAACAGTGAAATCTTTTCCACATTAGTTAATTTTTACTGTAAAAGAATTCATTCTGTTTCACATCAACTAAAAATACAGTCATTTTAGCTTTCAGTTTCTCACAGTTCAGTTTTGTATTTCTTGTACCTAATGCAGCATGACCCTAAAATGAGACTTCAATTAAATCTGAACACTGACACGGTCAGTTTGTTTGTTTTAAATTTTCCAAGGAAAAGCAGTTATTGATGTGTTCATCTTTGTATCCTCTTTTAGGTGAGTCATTATTTGTTTTAATCTACTCTAAAATAGTTTCCTCAATTTAAGAAATATAAACACAGGCCAGGTGTGGTGGCTCACACCTGTAATCCCAACACTTTGGGAGGCCGAGGTGGGTGGATCACCTGAGGTCAGGAGTTCGAGATCAGTCTGGCCAACATGGCAAAACCTTGTCTCTACCAAAAATACAAAATTAGCCAGATGTGGTGGCGCATGTCTGTAGTACTAGCTACCTGAGGGGCCGGGGCAAAAGAATCACTTGAACCCAGGAGACGGAGGTTGTAGTGAGTCAAGATCGCACTACTGCACTCCAGCCTGGGTGGCAGAGTGAAGTTCCGTCTCAAAAAATAAAAATAAAAATAAATAAATATATATATATAAACTATATTATATAATATTTAAATATAAATACATACACACAGAGAGCATAGTTTTAGGGCTGACAAGTGCCTGGTGTAGCTTTAGCTGCATCCTTCTTAAAATCCAAGGCCTGAGCTCATGAGCCTGCAAGCTCACCAAACTTAATCCAATATTCAAAAAAAAAAAAGGCCAGGCGTGGTGGCTCACACCTGTAATCCCAGCACTTTGAGAGGCCGGTGGGCAGATCGCGAGGTCAGGAGATCGAGACCACCATGGCTAACATGGTGAAACCCCGTCTCTACTAAAAATACAAAAAACTTAACCAGGCGAGGTGGTGGGTATCTGTAGTCCCAGCTACTTGGGACGCTGAGGCAGGAGAATGGTGTGAACCCAGGAGGCGGAGCTTGCAGTGATCCAAGATCAAGCCACTGCACTCCAGCCTGGGTGACAGAGTGAGACTCTGTCTCAAAAAAATAAAATTAAAGGCCGGGCGCGGTGGCTCAAGCCTGTACTCCCAGCACTTTGGGAGGCTGAGATGGGCGGATCACGAGGTCAGAAGATCGAGACCATCCTGGCTAACATGGTGAAATTCCGTCTCTACTAAAAAAATACAAAAAAAACTAGCCGGGCGAGGTGGTGGGCGCCTGTAGTCCCAGCTACTTGGGAGGCTGAGGCAGGAGAATGGCGTCAACCCGGGAGGCGGAGCTTGCAGTGAGCCGAGATCCCGCCACTGCACTCCAGCCTGGGCGACAGAGCAAGACTCCGTCTCAAAAAAAAAAAAAAGGAAAAAAAATTAAATTAAAATAAAATAAAACAAAACAAAATAAAAAATAAAGAAAACTTAATATTCCACATAAGCAAATACATATACCAGCAATCCTGGTTTTCTGTTATGCTAGAGATGTAAGAAGTAATTAGAGGTGAGGACTGAGATGAAGAAACATAAGCAACAGAGCCAAGAGATGCTTTTCAGGTGAGGGTGGTGAAAATACACACAGGTCCAGAGACTTTTGGAAACTGTAAGGCTGGAGTAGATCACCAAGTTCTCCTTCAAGTCTTCAGATTCTATGACTTCATGAAGAAACCATACATAACAAAAACAGTCTTTTCAGGTAATCGTTCTTTCTGGAACTTAAAACAAATATGGAATGGCACCATAATCCATTCCATCCCCACCCCCAACCAAGGTGAAGCTGAAAATGTGCTATGGAATTGTAGACAAATGTAAACAATGCAAATCAATTAATAATACTTACTGTGTCTGAATTCCCTTCCAGCAATATATTGATAGCTTTGTTCACATCTCCATTACAATCATGTAGGGCCACTATGCATTCATCCTGATTTTTCCCTGTCACTTCCATAAGCTAGTGAATATATCAGAAAATGGTTAGAGGCAACCAAAAACTAGCACTTGATGTTAATATTAAGACTCTTCTATACAAATACAGAATTACATAATCCTTCTACATGAAGATAGCCTCTTCTAGACTCTGAGTTTACAATGAAGACACGTTTTATTTTTTTTGTGGCCATTCCATGCATGTCCTTTCACTAACACTGGTAGAATTTAACTAAAAATAAATCTTCCTCCAAGTTGACCAAGGAGCAGATCATTAATCAGCAGCACATACATACGTACCAACATTCTCAGAATACTCAAGATCAGGTATCTGAATAATCAAATTTAATTCAAGGACACAGGATTCCTAAACTTAAATATGAGGTGGAACTATATGAGTACATGGTCACCATTCATGGAAAATCCAATACAAATTTTTTGTCAGGGACAATATTCCACATATTGGCTTTCACCATTTGGATTAGAACACTTCAAAGGCCAGCCACAGCAGCTCACGCCTATAATCAACACTTTGGGAGGCAGAGATGAGAGGATCACTTGAGCCCAGAAGTTCGAGACAAGCCTGGGCAATATAGTGAGACCTCATCTTTACAAAAATTTAAATGAGGTGGTGGTAGGAGGATCACTTCAGCCCTGGAGGTGAAGGCTGCAATAAGATATGATTGTGCCACTGTACTATAGCACAGGAGAGAGAGAGACCCTGTCTCCCCACCAAAAAAAGAAAAAAAATATATCATTCCATATACATACTAAGTTACATAACACCCTAAAGTCTTACTAGTGGAATTCTGCTACTATCACAAAACACACTCCTAGACATATTATTTTCTCAAGGATCTTCAACACGGTGCTATGCTTGAAGTAATGATGAAACTCTTCAGTTTATCATCATTAGCAAGGGATACTTGTTACTTAGCGTTTTCATCACTAGAACAATCACAGACTAGGCAAAATGCAGGTTTCTCAAGTATCAGTGAATAAACCTATGATTTAATATCTATTGCATTTTAACTACATTTAACTATTTTAGTATGTACTAGTTGAAGTTCAAAATAGCTTGATCCCAACATATCAAGTGATTTGTCTATGGTCACAAAGGTAATTAATAGCAAAGCCCATCTAGAACCCAGGCCTCCTGATCTCATAATCACAGCTCTCTGCACTATACCATTTGGCCTCTCTGCTTTCATCTTTTCATTTTATCAAGCAGCAAAAGTTCTGCATACTCTATAGCTTTCTGACGCTTCAGTCTTTGGATAGCTACCAATAAAAGTCTCATTTTTATCAATGATCTGTACTAAGTGAATGCCTGCAACATACAATTTTTAAGACATACAGTCAGCATCAAAATTACCCCAGTGGTCAGATTACTGACAGAACTAAAGTTGGAACTTAAATCTCTGAACTCCTGGGCCAATGCTCTATCTATACTATTCAGATAAAAGGCGATGTACTATATATAAGTGTATCTCAAACTGTATGAAGATCTCATTCCAGAGAAGGAAATCTATGATTTCTTGTGAGACAAGACAAGATTTCACTGTGAGACATTTACTCCAAAGAACAATTATTAGATGACATCTACTAAGAGTAGGAATAGCTGGCACTGAGATAGGGGTTACAGCTTCGTTTCTAGAATCTTGATAAGAAACAAAGTCGGCCAGGCGCGGTGGCTCAAGCCTGTAATCCTAGCACTTTGGGAGGCCGAGACGGGCGGATCACGAGGTCAGGAGATCGAGACCATCCTGGCTAACATGGTGAAACCCCGTCTCTACTAAAAAATACAAAAAACTAGCCGGGCGCGGTGGCGGGCGCCTGTAGTCCCAGCTACTCGGGAGGCTGAGGCAGGAGAATGGCGTGAACCCGGGAGGCGGAGCTTGCAGTGAGCTGAGATCGGCCACTGCACTCCAGCCTGGGCGACAGAGCGAGACTCCGTCTCAAAAAAAAAAAAAAAAAAAAAAAAGAAACAAAGTCAGCAAAGTAGAGTTGGAAATTAAGATTAAGTTATCAAAAATACCTCTTATTAAAGTTTGAAATGAAGACATTGCCCTAAAATTTAATTTTATATTTTTCCAACGAGAGTATGAAATCACAACCATGTCTGAAATGGCAATTCAGGCCAGTAATCCTGTAATCCCAGCACTCTGGGAGGCCAAGGCAGATTGCTTGAGCCCAGGAGTTCAAGACCAGTCTAGGCAACATTGCAGGACTCTGTCTCTACAAATATTTTAAAAATTAGCTGGGCATGGTGATGAACATCTGTCATCATAGCTACTCAGAAGACTGAAGCAGCAGGATAGCGTGAGCCTAGGAGTTTGAGGCTGCAGTAAACTACGATAGCACCACTGCACTCCAGCCTGAGCAACAGAGCAAGATCATGTCTCTATGAAAAGAAATTTTTTAAAAGGTAATTCAGTTCATCCCTAACATTAAACAAAATTCCCAGAGACTGTGCCAAATGTTAGATATACTTTCTATGTATATACGTATAGGAAAATCTCAGTGTGCTTACAGAAATGTCTGGTTCAATGTTCACATGTAAACACCAATAACTCAGAAAGATTGTATTGTAAGGTAGGTGAACGTATTCAATTCTTTTGCTTGCCCACCAATAAACGTATTTAATCACAAGTCCAAAATCCAATACACAGATTTCAGGTGAGACTAGAAGCTAGAAGTAATACTTTAAAACAAAAATCTTTACTGAAATTATCTCTTTAAGCGCAATCCAAACAGATTACAAAAATGATGATATCCTTTGCCAGAAACATACCTGCTTAACTTTAGCTTCAAAATCTGAATCATTCTTATCAAAGATCACTTGAGCAAGACGCATCTGTTCAGCTGTTGCCTGGAAAGTACATACAATTGTTAAGGATTTGAAAACCAAAAGCTTAAGTTAGATTCCAAAATCTGGGTCAAACAGATAAGGCTCTCAAGCACTAGAAACACTAAGTAAAAACAAATAAAAGACCCCGAATTTAGGCCTCTCAACCTGTTCCCATAGGAAAAATAAGCATCAAATTAAGTAACATAAAGGACCCATTCCTTTGACCAAATGACCTAAAGTCATTGTTCATCTTAACTGGCCATATGACTTATTTGAATTTTCTTTCCCTTGGCAGGGTCGGGGAAATCAGCTCAAAAGAAAGCAGAAGAACAAAAAATAATGAAATCTTTTTGGCCAGGCATGGTGGCTCATGTCTTTGGGAAGCTAAGGTAGAAGAACTGCTTGAGCCCAGGAGTTTGAAACTAAGCCTGGGCAACACAGAGAGACCCTGTCTCTATTTAAATTTTTAAAAGATTTAAAAAAAAAAAAAGGCTTAAAAATTAATGAAATCATTAGAGGTAGTTGGTAGGCAAAAAATAATAAAAGAAAAATTAAAAGGTAACGCAAACAGCAGCCCAGACGCAGGCTTAGAACTAGACTTTGTGTCAACAAAGCTGTTGTCAGCTCTAAAAAGGTATGCTGGTTAGTTCTGAAGGAAAAAAAGCTGTATTTAGCTAAACTAAAAATATTTTTAAAGTTACTTTATCTTTTTTTAAATACACAATAATTTTGTTTTTCTAAGAGACAGGGTTTCACTATGTTGCCCAGGCTGGTCTTGAACTCCTGGGCTCAAGTGATCCTCCAACCTCACCCTCCCAAAGTGCTAGGATTACAGGCCTGAGTCACTGCATCTGGCAAAAGTTACCCTCTTCACAATTTTTTTTTTTTTTTTGAGATGGAGTCTCATGCTGTTAGCCCAGCTGGAGTGCAGTGCCGCGATCTTGACTCTGCAACCTCCGCCTCCCAGGTTCAACTGATTCTCCTGCCTCAGCGTCCAGAGTAGCTGGGACTACAGGCATGCACCAGCATGCCCAGCTAGTTTTTGTATTTTTAGTAGAGACGGGGTTTCACCATGTTGGCCACACTGGTCTCAAACTCCTGGCATCAGGTGATTCACCTGTCTCGGCCTCCCAAAGTGCTGGGATTACAGGCGTGAGCCACCATGCCCAGCCTAAATCACAATTTCTTAAAGTTTTTATTTACGTATTTATTTAATTTTTAAAGGTAGGGTGTCATTCTGTCCCCTCAGATTGCAAAGCAGTGATGCCATCATAGCTCACTGCAGCCTCCAACTCCTGACTTCAAGAGATCCTGCTGCCTCAGCCTCCCATGTAGCTTGGATTACAGGTGTGCACCACCACATCTGGCTAGTTGCAGAAAACTTACTTCCAGTTACTTTTGTCACTCAAAATATTTTTACAATCACATTACTAAGTTTCGTTTTCTGATGTTTTTAGCAACAAAAAATCAGAAAAGTTCTAAAGAAAGTTATTCATTTGTGGAGTGATTTTGCAATGTGCCAGTCTAGTTTCTTAGTTTTAACAAAGGTACTGTAATTATTACAACAGGGAAATTAGGTGAGGAATATAAAGGAACAATCTGTATCATCTCTGTACAACAGTCTACTAAATCGAAAATTACTCCAAAATAGTTTAAGTTGCCTCGTTAACCAAGTCTATACTAACTCCCAACATAAATATTTAAAAAGCTGAACAGTTTACAAAAAGATCTTAGAGGAAAAAAAGCCATAAGGAACTAATAGACAGCTTTTATTCTCAGTTTTTTATATACACTCATTTCAAATAATCTTGACTAAAGTGGGATAAGGGGGAGTTGTTGACATTTTTTGCATTTTAAAGCACTTTTCAAAAGGCCTTTCCAGGCCATGTGGGTGGGTGATTATACAAATTCCAGGTGCTTTGGCCTGTTCATCCCAACCTATGCCTGCTGAGACCTCAATTTAACTGCCGCAGTACTGCTACATTATACCCAGAAAGACACTGGTACAGAAATTCAATGTCTACACTTATTAAAAATTACCACAATTGTTCCCTGTACATGTAAGGACCTTACATATACTCTTACTATCCCTAAATCAGACAATCATTTTCCTGAACCATAACAACCAAGAAATCCCAGTGCCACAGCCAAGAGCAACAATGTCGTGATAACTAGATGAAGTAAAAGGGAAAAGCAAAGCAAGAGATGAGTTTTTTAAAGATGGCATTTCCACATTACACATTTGGGTTTGGAGTAATGGTAACTTGTTATGAACTGTTAAAGTCAAAAATATAGAGAGAAACAAATCACTAAGTAAAAAAGGTTTTATTTGGGAAGAATATATAAGTAGGATTACAATCCAGGACATACATACATACATACTAGGGTGGCCTCCAGTGTGTCCAAACAAGGTTGGGAATTTTATTAGAAAAATAAACGTGACCTAGTTTTGAAAGAAAACTCACTGGAACTACTAAAGTTTTCGGGAGCTGGTAAGCTCTGATTGGTGAGTGAAGACGGTTGGTAAAACCAGACTTAGAGTCACAAGAGTTCATCTCAACAGCTAGTAGGTAAAACTGGATTTAAGGTTACAGCATGTCATTGGGGCAGCTGGCTTGCAATATAATCCCTGGGCAAGCGCTTTGTGCCCCAAGCACTTTTTTACCATAACCCTTGGTCCACTGACTCTAAATTTAGTTGGGTATGACAAGATAACTCCAATTCATATAATCAATTTTCACAAAATGAAAGTAGACTGTTGGTGTCCCTGCTGCAAGAAGCCTATATGAAGAGTTTGCCTGTTTTCCCTAATACTATTATTTTCTGCTCCCAGTGTTTCAAACCTAAAAAATGTACCGTACTCATTATCCAGCAGATTCAGGTAGCCTTGTTCCAATACAAGCACCACTGATGTTCATCCCTTCCCATCATTAAAGTTTCTTAAATTATAAGCTTTACATGTCAAACACAAGAAAAACTGAAAAATCCATAAGGTGACCATCTAACACCAAAACTATTTATGTATTTGGTATTCATATTTTTTTCATTTAAAAAAAAAAACAAAAAAAAAAACAGGGTTTCACTCTGTGGCCTAGGTTGGAATGCTGTGGCACAATCACACCTCAACAAGGCCTCGACCTCCCAGGTTCAAGCAATTCTCTGACCTCAGCCTCCTGAGTAGCAACCATGGCAGCCGCCATGCCTAGCTAATTTGTTGTTGTTGTTGTTGTTGCTGTTTTGGTAGAGACAGGTCTCACTGTGTTGCCCATGCTGGTCTCAAACTCCTGAACTCAAGCAATCCTCCCACTTCTGCCTCCCAAAGAGCTGCAATTATAGGCATGAGCCACCACACCTGGCTAGTTTCCTCTTTTATCAAAAACAGAATATTTAACATACTACTACGTAGAATCACTCACAAACACACAACTTATTGTGAATATCTATATCAGGTTTAATGCTACATGACAATCCACTGCATAGGTGCTACTTTTTTTTTTTTTTTTTTTTTTGAGACAGTCTCGCTCTGTCGCCCAGGCTGGAGTGCAGTGGCACGATCTCGGCTCACTGCAAACCTCCGCCTCCCAGGTTCAAGCGATTCTCCTGCCTCAGCCTCCTGAGCAGCTAGGATCCCCAGGCACGTGCCACCACACCCAGCTAATTTTTGTATTTTTAGTAGACACCGGGTTTCACCATGTTGATCAGGCTGGTCTTGAACTCCTGACCTCATGATCCGCCCACCTCAGCCTCCCGAAGTGCTGGGATTACAGGTGTGAGCCACCGAGCCCGGCCTTACCTTTGAAGACAGAGTTTCACTGTGTTGGCCAGGCTGGAGTGCAGTGGCAAAATCGGCACTCACTACAGCTGCCTCCCAGGCTCAAGCAATCCTCCCACCTCATGCACTCTACCCCCCCCCCCGCCCACCAATTTACCCCAATAGCTGGAAATACAGGCACACAACACCACACCTGGTTAATGTTTTGTTCTCAGTATAAACAAGGTTCCACCATGTTACCCAGGTTGGTATTGAACTCCTCAGCTTAAGCAATTCCTCCGCCTTGGCCTCCCAAAGCGCTAGGATTAGAGGTGTAAACCACAGTGCCCGGCCTATATCTTTCTTACTCTACAAATTTTTATTACTACAAAAACACTGCCAGAGATCCTTTTTTTTTTTTTTTTTTTGAGACGAAGTCTCCTTCTGTTACCTTGCAGTGGCGTGCTCTCGGCTCACTGCAACTTCCGCCTCTTAGATTCGAACAATTCTCGTGCTTGGGACTACAGGCATGCCACCACGCCCTGCTAATTTTTGGTTTCGGTAGAGACGGGGTCTCATCATGTTGGTCAGGCTGGTCTTGAACTTCTGACCTTGAGTGATCTGCCCACCTTGGCCGCCCAAAGTGCTGGGATTACAGGTGTGCACCACTGCGGCAGGCTGAGGTCCATTCTTATACCCAAATCAGAACACACATCAAAGAGAGCCTTTTTTTTTTTTTTTTTTTTTTTTTGAGACACAGTCTTGTTCTGCTGCTCTGGCTAGAGTGCAGTGGTGTGACCTCGGCTCAATGCAACCTCCGCCTCCCAGATTCAAGGGATTCTCTGCAACCTCCACCTCCCAGGTTCAAGCGATTCTCCCGCCTCAGCATCCCCAGTAGCTGAGATTACAGGTGTTCGCCACGACGCCCGGCTAATTTTTACTATTTCTAATACAGATGAGGTTTCATCATGTTATTCAAGCTGGTCTTGAACTCCTGACCTCAAATGACCCTCCTGCCTTGCCCTCCCAAAGTGCTGGGATTACAGGCATAAACCACCACGCACAGCCAAAGATAGATTTCTCTTTTTTTTTGAGACTGAGTTTCACTCTTGTTGCCCAGGCTAGAGTACAGTGGCACAATCTTGGCTCACTGCAACCTCTACCTGCCTGGTTCAAGCAATTCTAGTATCTCAGCCTTCCAAGTAGCTGGGATTACAGGCACATGCCACAGTGCCCAGCTAATTTTTGTATTTTTAGTAGAGACAGGGTT